GATACATCCAGTTAGATTAAAGATTGGGCTTTAGAATGATTTAAGATTTATTCGGATTTGATCAAGCTTAAAAAAGTTATAAAGTCGATCAAATTTGGCTGACGCTCAAGTGGTAAGGCTCATGTTCCCCAATCCAACATAACGTACAGAAAAACTCTATAAGAATGCATCCAGCTTAATGTCAATCTCGAATAAAATGACACATTAGAAGGTGTTTGAAAAATCGAACGAACACTGCATTTTTGTAGAGATTTTACGATATATGCTCGAATAATTGCTCTCTCACAAATAACACACTATCTTGATCAAATTACTCCCATCAGCGAGATGTTGAACAATAAATATAAGCCCGATATGTCTAATGCACGTTCATGTTTCACTCGCATAATTGAACATTTAATTAAGTACCTTTTTCAACGAGATGTTGATACATTAATTATCCTTGGTAATTATTTAAGCATATATGTACAGTATCCGAAACAAATAGTATTTTCAATTATAGCTTTATTTATAAACTTTAAAATTTTAATTTTATAGCATTCTGATTGACTATTATTTTTGATTCTTTAATCAAATCACCCTACTCCTCTTTATCTCTATACTCTTCCTATTTATTGTCACTTCTGCTTTTTATCCCTTTCTACTGGTTTTTATTTTATTTTGGTTAGTATTTTTAGTAAAAATTTAAAATGGTTCTTTTTCTTGTTTAAAAGATAAAATTAGGGTATAGCGCATTTGGAGATCAGACTTTTGGGGACCCGACAGTTGGGAACGAGTTCTGGGATACAACACTTAGGGACACGAACATTAGAGACCCGACATTAGGGAACGAAATAGAATTTTAATAAATTGAAATTAAAGCGGGTTTTTAATCCGTGATCGGATATAGACAAAACAAATAAAACAATAAAATAAGACATTCAGGCACCAAACTTTAAAAACCATAGCTCGGTCGATGACAACAAAATCAGCTCAATTCTATAATAAAAATACGACAAACTGAATCCTTTACAAAAAACAATTTTTGTGTTGCTTCTGAGGGGTATGCCGTCAGTTTAAAGCAGAAAATCGGTGAAAAGAATTAGGTTTATTTACTGGTGTAGAACCAAGCGACCTTAAAATCCGCAACCGTATTTTTAAAAAATTTTACTCATTTTTTATGTTAATTAAATTTTTAAAATTTTCAATAAGATTTTAATGAAAGCCGAATTGTTGACCGTTTGGATTTGAAGATCCTCTGAAATTATTGTATTAATTTTTGCGTATAAAAATTTGAAATAATTTTTCATCAAGATAACTATAAAATAAATATAAAATGTGGCAAAAAACAACTTGGGTTTATTTTTTTTATTTTAAAATTATATTGAAGCATTATGATCACCAAAAAAAGGGCAAATTTAAACTCTAAATCCTTCAACTCTATATCCGAGCAAAGGGTGAGCAATTAGAAAAGTTTTTATTATACTGGCCGTGTAATTTTTGTCACCCTGTATTTGTATTCCAAGAGTTGAAATTGCCAGATTTTGAATTGAGCAAAATGTTATCTGTGGTTTTTAAACCTTTTAATAATTTTTAAAAACCACTTTCTAAGCAAGAGATGGATTTTTTCAGTCTTACCAATGTATCGTTGTCTTTTTCAGTTTGAGTAAAAAAGTTAAATTGTAAAAGTTTATTCTTCTGTTTTTATAAATTTAAAGTTTAAAATTTTAATTTTAAATAAAAGTTTTTTATTTGTTGAAAATTAATTTTATTTTTTTTAAATAATTGTTGGGAACGTATTTCTCAACAAAACCTGGGGTTAAAAACCGACGATAACCGAAAACGGTGGCTAAACCGACCAGTTTCGGTTTAAAAAATACACCCCCAAGGATGGAATTTTTTGAGATTTTTTCGGACAGATGACCAGTGTAGTTTTCTTACGATTGTACCGTTTTCTTATTTCAGTTTTGATATTTATAGGGACCAGAAATGCGGTCTCGCAATAAGATCTCACAATAAACATAAAACCTTAATTAATATTTTTGCTTAGAAATTGAGTTGTTATCTAAGCGTTATCTCTATTTAAGATACAAATAAGAATAAGTTTCAGTCACAGCGGGGTGCTATCGAGATGCGACTATATCTAATTCTAATTTTATCCCTCAACAAGAAATTTTTACTAAAAATAATGAACCAAAATAAAATAAAAATCAGTATGAAGGTTAAAAAACAGAATCCCGCGCTTCGCGCGGGATTTTGCGGCACGCGCCTCGCGGGAGTCAACGGTCGCTGGGTTCTACAACAGTAACATAAACCTATTCCTTTTTACTGATTTTCAGCTTTGAAATGCCGACCTACCCACTAAGTAACAGTACAAAAATAGTTATTCAGAGAATTTTGTGATATTTTTCGAATAAATCCAAAAATTCACTCTGACGCCCACAATAACCCGCGCCTAAAAAATTGGAGCCCAATTTTCCGTTTTTTTCACGTAGAGCCCAAATTTCCGCTGGAGCCCAATTTTCCGAAAAGTTGGAGCCCAATTTTCCGAAAAATCTTGGAGCCCAATTTTCCAGAGCCCAATTTTCCGGACACCTTTGAAAGAAAGAAATAATAATTGTAAAGGAAGTATAGTTACTGGAAAAAGATACATAAGTGAACTAAAAATAAATTGTTACCGTGAAATAAGGTTGGGGTTGGGACTAGAATAGAATGTAAGTCTCGAATCCGGTGTTTACAAGAATATTTTTTCTCTCGTATTTATATTCTCATTAATTAAAATTAAAAATATTTCATATGTTTATACCTCCAATTATCACTCCACGGTTTTGACCTCGTCCTCTTTGATATTCTTCAGCAGACTGATCAATAGCTTGTTGTATTTCTCGGTCATCAAATCCTTATTTTTAAAATTTAATCATAAAATAGTTCTACAACTAAATCACATTATTATTTACACATCGAAATCTATGTAAGCTAACATATAAAATAAATAGGGAAGGATTCGATAGAATAAATTTTTAATTTTCAATAAAAATACCTCCATGTTGTGTCTCTTGGTTTCCGTGCTGGTTGTGACGGATTGTATTATCTAAATTTAAAAAATAGTTCTGTGAATACTATTAAAATAAATTCATAATAAGATATTTGTTTTTTAGTTTACTAATCTGACTAATTCACAATTAAAACTAATAGAGGCAGTGCGTTTTCTATATAATTTTATAAATTAATAATATTTACCTTCTCCAGCATTATGGTATTTTTTTTCATGTTCTTGTGTTAATATGTACTTATTTCCTTCATTTATTACTCGCCCTTTACAAGGTCTTTTACTACATACCCAATATATATTTCCATTTGTTAGTTTTTTGCTTTCATTGTAATATTCATAACCACCCAAAACTAGTTTATCTGTCCCTTTTCTCAATTGTTTAAAAATAGGCTCTTCTTAAAAACAATAATTAAAATATTTACCCAAAAGATTCCTCTGGGCAATTATTATTTCAATGTTCGATTAGGTGATAATCAATAGATTTGATTTAATTATTTGAAAATACATATGTTAGTAAAAATTATTATAATTGTTTTTAACTGAAAAGCACTATTTGAAAAATCTACAACTTTTAATTACGTTCACAGTTTTAATGGGATTTGATATTTTAAATTCATAATTTATAAAGTCTTATTGACATAAAAATTATGTCTAAATTCGGTGTTACGACAATTGGGATACGCATGTGCGGATGCGACGATTGCGGACAACAATTGCGGACGACGATTGCGGTTATGTCAATTGCGGATTAAAAATTTTTCGTAATTTTAATAATGGTTGAAATGATATCAAGTTTTTTTATCCCGGCTTCAGTTTCAAACTTATGACGGTTTCCGAACCATTTTTAAAATATTGCGGCATTGAAAATTTTAAAAAATCAATAATTTTTAAAACTTTTTGTATTCGCAATTGTAGTCCGAGTTGTCGTCCGGAATTGTCATATCCGCAATCGTCGCATCCGCAATTGACATCCGCAATTTCGTACAGCCCTAAATTCGAATCCTAATCCGAGATAATTCCGTAATCCTAATCCGAGATAATTCCGTACTCTACCGTTCTCCTTCTCCTTTTCATTATATGCTCAACATGTACTACTTTTATTTGCACCACTGGCAATAGACAACTAGAGTCACATTACAATTTTTTAAATTTTTTTCTACTTTAGTGTGTTAGCGCCACTTTCAGGAAAAAATTAAATAAGAATTCGCACAATGAAAAGAGGGAGAAAAAAATTTCTAATCTAAATTTCTAACTGGCCTAATCTGAAAACTGATATTAGATACGAAGCCCGATGGAGAATGCAAGATATTTAAAAAAAGTTATTAAATTTTTTTAATTTAGAAAGCAAAGCTCATTTTTGGAATTTATAAAACATTACCACTTATAATTTTTCCTTTTTTTACACAAGTGTGCTTAGATGTAAATTCACTATCAAACTTCAATTCTTTTAATTCATCATCTGTTAATTCTTTCAATATTTCAAATTTAACTCCTTTTGTAACAACTTTTCCTTTACATCCAGAACTACGGTATTTATTGCACACCCAAGTGATAGTCTCCTTTTTATCATTATGATAAGAATAGTAATATTTATAACCAGCATATTCTAAAGTATATCTTCCCTTTTCTGTTTTAACAATATAGGGATTGTCATCTTAAATTTGTAAAAAATTTTTTTAGAAATCCTAAGATTCTACTTAAAGATATAGGACAAATTGGTCAAATAATTTCAGATTTCAGATCTTGGCTGCGTACTCGAGTAAAGAAACTTTTTTCTTGTTTTTTATTACCTTCCCTGTCTTACCTTTTTGACCAGAAGAATTCATTCCAAGTGTTAAACCCAAATTTAACCAATTTTGAACAGATTCTTGACCAGAAGGATTCGTTCCATGAGGGTATTCTGCATTCATATGTTGACGTTGAGTTGGGTATAAAGACTGATTAGTGCCAAGAGTTAAATCAAATTTAACTAATTTTGTGAAGAATCTTGACCAGAAGTTTTAATATAGTGATGTTGATATGGATAATTGCCATATCCTAATTGCAAATCCCACAAATTTCGAGGTACTTGACCAGACGGATTCACTTGAGGATGTTGAGGTGAGTTTAAAAATGGATTATTGCCAAAACCTCGATTCAAATCTAACAAATTTTGAGAATGTTCTGTGCCAGAATACATTCCTTGAGAGTATCCTCCAGTACTTGGGGGTATGCTTCCAGTTCCAGTTCCTCCATGGTCACTAGTTCCTGTCCCGCTTGTTTCACCATCTCGATATTGAAAACGATTAAAATAATTTTGTCCATCATTTTCATCATCGCTATTAGTTGAATCAACAAGATGAGGCGTTAAAAATAAGCAAAGAAATAAAAATATTGAAAGCTTCATTACTTTCTGGAATTAATTTAAAAATAATTTTAATTAATAATTTAAAAATATATTTAAGCGATAAATCCCTAATTGACTCTAAATGCTAAACAAATGCTAAGCTTTTCTTATTTGCGTTAAACAGTAAGAGACTGATTTCATCAACTATTTTAGCCGGTTTATAAGGGTAATTTTAAAATGCTAAATAAGACGCAGTGAATTTTTTTCTCTTTCTCTCTCTCTCCCCCCCCCCCCCCCCCCACCATTGACAAAAATTGAGATTAAGAGGACATTTCACCAAATTTGTTATTGTTCGAAAATTCTAATTTTTTTAAATGTTCATTCTACAGCTATTCGACGATGTACTTGTCCTAGTAAGAGACCTTTGTTTTTGTAACTAAAATTCCCAGATATTCTAGCAAACCTTTACAAATAAAGTTGGTTATCATACCTCGCAATAATATGCTGTACATTAATAAGACCATTAAAGTCTAGTCCCAAACAATTAAGTTATTCAACTTCCGCTTTTTTAAAATCGAAACTTGATCCGACAAAAAATTTAAAATTCCGAATGAATTTTTCTTTAGCCGATAACATCGTTGTCATAAAGACATTAACATGTCTATTGCTTAAGGAATCCGACTGAGGGCCCTGTTCGTTTTCTTTTACCGAGTTTTGTCTTTAGAAGATTCATTATAAATCATAAAAATTTACAGCTAAAACAACAACTACCAAATAATTTCAAAATCTAGTCTGTAAAATATCCAACGATATTCCGTCAAATGTATCTTTATGACATACAGGCAAAATCACATGAATCAAGTCTTGGCAGTTCCACGCAAACAAATTTTAGAGCAGAAAGGGTCTTAGTAAATGGAAGAGGGGAGTGAAAGATAAAAAGAGCTGCACTTTACTAATGCCTGCCAAGACTTGATTCATGTGATTTTACTTGGATGATTGTCCCATCCTAAATGGAAGAGGGGAGTGAAATATAAAAAGAGCTGCACTTTACTAATGACTGCCAAGATTTGATTCATGTGATTTTACTTGGATGATTGTCCTATCCTAAATGGAAGAGGGGAGTGAAAGATAAAAAGAGCTGCACTTTACTAATGCCTGCCAAGACTTGATTCATGTGATTTTACTTGGATGATTGTCCTATCCTAAATGGAAGAGGGGAGTGAAAGATAAAAAGAGCTGCACTTTACTAATGCCTGCCAAGACTTGATTCATGTGATTTTACTTGGATGATTGTCCTATCCTAAATGGAAGGTGGAAGTTGAATAACTTAATTGTTTGGGACTGGACTTTAATGGTCTTATTAATGTACAGCATATTATTGTGAGGTATGATAACCAACTTTATTTGTAAAGGTTTGCTAGAATATCTGGGAATTTTAGTTACAAAAACAAAGGTCTCTAACTAGGACAAGTACATCGTCAAATAGCTGTAGAATAAACTTTTAAAAAAATTAGAATTTTCGACGAATAACAAATTTGGTGAAATGTCCTCTTAATCTCAATTTTTGTAATGGTGGGGGGGGGGGGAGAGAGAAAGAGAAAAAAATTCACTGCGTCTTATTTAGCATTTTAAAATTACCCTTATAAACCGGCTAAGATAGTTGATGAAATCAGTCTCTTACTATTTAACGCAAATAAGAAAAGCTTAGCATTTGTTTAGCATTTAGAGTCAATTAGGGATTTATCGCTTAAATATATTTTTAAATTATTAATTAAAATTATTTTTAAATTAATTCCAGAAAGTAATGAAGCTTTCAATATTTTTATTTCTTTGCTTATTTTTAACGCCTCATCTTGTTGATTCAACTAATAGCGATGATGAAATGGATGAATATAATTATTTCAATCCTTTTCAATATCGAGATGTTGAAACGAGCGGGACAGGAACTAGTGGCCATGGAGGAACTGGAACTGGAAGCATACCTTCAAGTACTGGAGGATACTCTCAAGGAATGTATTCTGGCACAGAACATTCTCAAAATTGGTTGGCTTTGAATCGAGGTTTTGGCAATAATCCATTTTTAAGCACAACTCAACATCCTCAAGTGAATCCGTCTGGTCATGTACCTCAAAATTGGTTGGATTTGCAGTTAGGATATGGCAATTATCCATATCAACATCAGCATATTAATCCTTCTGGTCAAGATTCTTCACAAAATTGGTTAAATTTGGATTTAACTCTTGGCATTAATCAGTCTTTATACCCAACTCAACATCAACATACGGGTGCAATATACCCTCAAGGAACGAATCCTTCTGGTCAAGAATCTTCTCAAAATTGGTTAAATTTGGGTTTAAATCCTGAAATGAATTCTTCTGGTCAAAAAGGTAAGACAGGGAAGGTAATAAAAAACAAGAAAAAAGTTCCTTTACTCGATACGCAGCCAAGATCTGAAATCTGAAATTATTTGACCAATTTGTCCTATATCTTTAAGTAGAATCTTAGGATTTCTAAAAAAAATTTTTACAAATTTAAGATGACAACCCCTTTATTGTTAAAACGAAAAGAGGATGGACTTTAAATTATGGTGGTTATAATTATAACTATTTTAGTCAGAGTGATAAAATGAAGACTATCACTTGGGTGTGCAATAAAAACCGTAGTTCTGGATGTAAAGGAAAAGTTGTTACAAAAGGTGTTAAATTTGAAATATTGAAAGAATTAACAGATGATGAATTAAACGATTTGAAGATTGGCATTGAATTTAAATCTAAGCACACTTGTGTAAAAAAAGGAAAAATTATAAATGGTAATGTTTTATAAATTCCAAAAATGAGCTTTGCTTTCTAAATTAAAAAAATTTAATAACTTTTTTTAAATATCTTGCATTCTCCATCGAGCTCGGATCTAATGTCAGTTTTCAGATTAGGCCAGTTATAAATTTAGGTTAGAAATTTTTTTCTCCCTCTTTTCAGTGTGCGAATTCTTATTTAATTTTTTCCTGAAAGTGGCGCTAACACACTAGAGTAGAAAAAAATTTAAAAAATTGTAATGTGACTCTAGTTGTCTATTGCCAGTCGCTTCAAATGGTGTCCGGAAAATTGGGCTCTGGAAAATTGGGCTCCAAGATTTTTCAGAAAATTGGGCTCCAACTTTTCGGAAAATTGGGCTCCAGCGGAAATTTGGGCTATACGTGAAAAAAACGGAAAATTGGGCTCCAATTTTTTAGGCGCGGGGTATTGTAGGCGTCAGAGTGAATTTTTGGATTTATTCGAAAAATATCACAAAATTCTCTGGAATAACTATTTTTGTACTGTTACTTAGTGGGTAGGTCGGCATTTCAAAGCTGAAAATCAGTAAAAAGGAATAGGTTTATGTTACTGTTGTAGAACCCAGCGACCGTTGACTCCCGCGAGGCGCGTGCCGCAAAATCCCGCGCGAAGCGCGGGATTTTGCACAAGCGCCTCGCCGACGCCCATAGGTTTACGTTGTTTGATTTTGTGCCATATAGGTTTACGTTGTTTGATCTATCTCGGATTAGGATTCGAATTGGGGCTGTACGAAATTGCGGATGGCAATTGCGGATGCGACGATTGGAGATGGAACAATTGCGGACGACGATTACGGATATGACAATTCCGTACGACAACTCGGACTACAATTGCGAATACAAAAAGTTTTAAAAATTATTGATTTTTTAAAATTTTCAGTGCCGCAATATTTTAAAAATGGTTCGGAAACCGTCATAAGTTTGAAACTGAAGCCGGGACAAACAAACGTGATATCATTTCAACCATTTTTAAAATTAGAAAAATTTTTAATCCGCAATTGACATAACCGCAATCGTCGTCTGCAATTGTTGTCCGCAATCGTCGCATCCGCACATGCGTATCCCAATTGTCGTAACACCGAATTTAGACATAATTTTTATGTCAATAAGACCTTATAAATTATGAATTTAAAATATCAAATCCCATTAAAATCTGTGAACGTATTAAAAAGTTGTAGATTTTTCAAATAGTGCTTTTCAGTTAAAAAACAGTTATAATAATTTTTACTAACATAACTTCAAATAATCAAATGGTATCTATTGATTATCACCTAATCGAGACATTGAAATAATAATTACTCAGGGGAATCTTTTGGGTGAATATTTTAGTTAATTATTGTTTTTAAGAAGAACCTGTTTTTGGACAAACGCAACAGGGGAAACCAAAATTAGTTTTGGGTGGTTATGAATATACCAAAGAAAGCAAACAACCAAATGGAAATATATATTGGGTATGTAGTAAAAGATCTTGTAAAGGGCGAGTAATAAATGAAGGAAATAAGTACATATTAACACAAGAGCATGAAAAAGAATACCATAGAGAGAGAGAAGGTAATATTGTAGTAAATTTATAAAATTATATAGAAATTCAACAAATTCGCACTTCCTGGTATTAGTGTTAATCGAAAAAGAGTTTAGCAAAAGTTTAGCCACCGGGCAGGAACCTACTACTTCCTGACAGTTAATATACAGGAGGTATATTCGAAAACTAAGAGAGTTTTTCGCTTAAGCGAAGGGAGTTTCGCTTTTTTCGAGGCGAAGTTCGATCAGAGATAAATGTGAAACGAGGCTCCTCGAGGTATAATTCTGTATATATGTATAAATATATAAGTAATTATGGGAAATAAGCAAGGACAAGCATCATGGTCAGATAGTTAAAATGAAACATACATATTTTTGATTATTTATTTTATATGTTAGCTTACATAGATTTCGATGTGTAAATAATAATGTGATTTAGTTGTAGAACTATTTTATGATTAAATTTTAAAAACAAGGATTTGATGACCGAGAAATACAACAAGCTATTGATCAGTCTGCTGAAGAATATCAAAGAGGACGAGGTCGAAATCGTGGAGTGATAATTGAAGGTATACACATTTGAAATATTTTTAATTTTAATTAATAAGAATATAAATACGAGAGAAAAAATATTCCTGTAAACACCGAATTCGAAATTCGATACTTACGTTCTATTCTAGTCCCGACCCGAGCCTTATTTAACGTAATC